AATTTTAGAACATAAAAATGTTGAATAGCAATGAAATTCCACTTGAAGTATAGTGACCTTCACTGATTTATAACCAACCACTCCAAAATTGCATTCTGCCTCTTTCTCCCTATCTCTCTCTCTAAACCATTATCTCTTGCTAAAGGTACGGCCCTCATTATGTTGTATATGATATAGAAGGTTATATAAGTAAACTTTAAAGAGGACAGTTTCGGGTGGTGAAAACTAATAGATCTGGATTTTGAACTTTGCTTTTAATTGATTATTTACAAATCATTCTACAGTCATTCCTAGTTTCATGTTTTAAGCATGTACTGTTCTGTTTTTGGATTTTGAATACTTCAAATTTTGGTGGATCTTGCCTGTGGCCTGGCCAATGGGCCATATGTTTGAGCTTTAAATGTTTTCATATGGAGTTCATATGGCTCTCTGAAATAGGAATAAGATATGTTTTTTTAAATAAAATACTTAATGGGTTGAAAACATCCTTTGAATTCTAATTATATCATACTTGGATGTCATTTGCTATCGAGTGTTATCCATAGCTTCTTTGTCATGTAAGCGTTATACTGTCACTATTTTGTGGAAGAATTCTCAAAAGCAATGGCACTATCGTTAATTTAACAATATATCCCACTTTTTATTATAATGTGGAAAATAAATGTAACATAGGATGACTTTTTTTATTTTGAAAACAAATGCTTGGGGATCCAGATATTTTTTTCCGTTGAAGTGAAATTTCAAATTGGATCGATTGAAACAAGTATTCGATCTTGATTGGCTTTTCACCCCTAGCCCTTTCTTAGCTTCATAGCCTCATCATCTTCCACTTGAGGCTTTTTTGGAAATTTCTTTTTCCCCTTGGGGTGAGCATTCTTGCCTTCACTCTTATGCAAAATCCATGTGCTTGACAATTGACTCCACTTGTTTAGGTATTCACACATTATCCATCTACAACATAATTAAACACTTTACATGAAATGTGTACGTAATCTTCATATGCACGTGCGCAAATCGTGCAAATGTGGTGTGTGCTACAACTAAGGGTTAGAGAAGGAAGTGTGGATCAATGCAATACAATTAGACCAAACTGAAAATTTTATTCATAATTAAAGAATGTGAATTAATTACAATGAAACAACGTTATATATGAAATCAAATGACATGCTTAATATATGATTAAGTTCAAAGAATAAGAATTAACTAACGAACATAAAAAATCACAGAAAGTAACTGAAAGGGGATATTATTCCAGTCGTGCAATCTTTCATATGATCCTCAATTGCTTGATTTTCGGTGGTAATGTATATTGGAAACATGGAGATGGAACTATAATTTTTAGAAGAAGAGAAGATAATATTTGCGGAGATCACTCACTTATTTCATAACACTCAAAAATTACTAGTTGAAAATGAGTAAAATCATTAGCCTTTTACAAAACAGGAATTTAACCTAATACATATACTAGTTATTGAATGCAGATTAATCCCCAAATTAATCCATTTATAGTTCAAGCAAATATTGTTTATCAAACTAAATCTTGAACAAAAGTGTGGCTGACGTCTCGAGTAAAGTTGCCAGATGGGTTGCTCGTGCTTGAAACTGAAGAAGATGACAGGAACAAGAACAAGAACAAGAACAACAAAAAGTATGATTTCTCCACTTTATCTTCAAACTCGTACCCCTAATTGTAATGCAGAAGCCATGACATTTACAGTTGTAGATTTCTGCGGATAGAACACCTTATAAAGAGAGAGAACTGAGGAGCCTAACAATCGAAATCTCAGACATGGAAACTTCTCAAAACCGTTCTGAAGTCAGCAATGAGGATACTCATGATGAGGTTACCCAAGAATTTTATATTATTGATACCATGTTAGTCGATGACAGCAAGACAAATAATACCAATCTTGGTTCAACTAAATCCAATGTCGAAATGCTTCCTGGCAGGAAAGATACTACATGGCATGGAAGTGATATTTCAGTGAGTAACCTGAAGAACAAAAAGGATTTTCTCCATTCCTGTCGAGTCGATGATATTCTCTTCTGAATCTTAAATCATCATTTCTAATGCCTAAATAAGTAAATATGCAAGTAAGTTTAAACAACATTCAAGGAAAGTCCCCAGTTTCTACCCCAGAAATGTCACTTACCACCACTTTGTAAAAGGTACTTAACCCATCTTCATCCATGTCTGAGTAGTTTGATACATAATCAAAAAGGTTTCTGTACTTTATACAAACTCAACTGGGTTAAGGGGCAGTGTTTATGGAGTAGCCAAGAGAATTCAAATAATCAATAACTTGCAATTTGTTATCCCGGTTCTGAATTATGTAGAGTAGCAATTGATTAAGGTATAGAAAAGCATATATGTTTGTGTGCACCGTGCGTACATGTAAATATAAATATTATTCCAACAAAACTACTTTCAGGTAATTCTGATAAAGCGGTTTATCACAATTCATAATAAGGAAAATAATACAAAAACATTGAGATTTAAGGTCATTTTCAGGTCAATGAAATCAAATATTGATATAGGGAAATATTTACATTTATAACATTAAAGTCATTTTCATCTAATTCGAAGTTGTACCCGAAGAGGTTTGAAACAAAAAATTCATCTTTAACAGAATCTACTTCTATTTTCTCAACAAGTTCTCATTCGATAAAGAGCGCCATAAAATCGATAAGAAAGTCATCCTCCATTTTATTGCGTAGGTCATTCTTCACATGTTTCATTGTTGATATTACTTGCTCAGTATTCATGATAGAAACAAGTAACATTAATACAAGACGAATCAATCTAGTATAAGTATCCGACTTTCTACTCTCAGTCAATTACCGGTGCAACTCAACAAGGGTAGAAATTTGAGACCGAGGTCTACTCTTAGTATCTAGCTCATATTGTTGCAATTCATATTCAAAATTATGAATGTATTATTTTGAGAAATCTTCAGAATATAACTTCTTTGCAAGTGTACAAATATCACGACGATTAAATTTTGTGTTCATATAAGGAAGTTAACTTGTTTGTCACAATGACATTAAATTTTGTGATGCAGACGTTACTAGTGGTTGTGCTAAAACGGAATTAAACCTTCGATCATGAGTTTGGAACATAAAGAAGTTGAGTAGCTAAAACGGAATTCCACTCAAAGTTTAGTGACCTTCACTGATGTATAACAAACCACCCCCTCCACATCCCATTTTTTACTTTAAAAAAAAAAAAAAAGAGCTCTCCGTCGCTGTAAGAAAACCCTGGAAATTTCACTTTCCTAGATCTACCAAGAAAAAGCCGCCACCTTTCCGTGCATATATAATCAATTTCTCTTCACTATTTCTCCAAAATCGCGTTCTTCCTCTTTCTTTCTCTCTATCTTGCAAAACTGGTATCTTTCCCAAGGGTACGATCCTCCTTACGCTTTTTCATGATTTTTACTCTACCACTTATTTCTCATATTTAATTATGCTTAACCCCGTCAAAATACGTTTCTTTAAACGATGGTCCTAGTTGTATATTAAATTGAATATCATATAAGTAAACTTATGAGGACAGATCCGAGTGGTGGAAACTAACAGATCTGGATTTTGAAATTTGCCCTGAATTGATTATTTGAAAATCATTCTACATTCTTTGACAGTTACATGTTTTAAGCATGTACTGTTATTCTGTTTTTCAAGTTTTTATTTGGTATTCATATGGCTCTCTGAAACATGAATAAGAGAATTTACTTAAATAAAATATTTAATGGTTAAAAAACATCCTTTGGACTATAATTATAACATACATTGATGTCTTTTGCTATCGAGCGTTATCAACAGTTTCTTTGTAATACAAACGTCATTTTGTCACTGATTTGTAAAGAATCGTCAAATGAAACGACACTATCGTCAATTTACCAGCATATTCTACTTCATTATAAGGTGGAACATCAAACGTAATAGTAGATATTGAATTGTTAATTTGTGCACAATCCATGCCCTTGACGATCGACTCCACTTGTTTAGGCATTCACATGTTATCCATCTATTGTATAATTAAACACATTACATGAACTCATGTGTGCAAATCTTTATCTGCATGTGCGCAAATCGTGCAAACGTGGTGCATGCGGAGACTAAGGTGTAGAGAAGTAAGTGTGGATCATAACTCGTTGATTTTGAAAGCTAAAAAATTGAGAAATAATCAATACAATAGGATTAGACCAAACTGAAAATATTATTCATAATTCAAGCATGCCAATTCATTACATTGACACAGCGTCATATATGAAAACTAATGATATGCTTAATATAGTAAAGTGCTAAACATAATAATTAACTTAGGAATATATACAAAATTACAGAAAGTAACTGAAAGGGGAGATTCTTCTCTAGTCGTGCAATATTTCATATGATACTAGATTGCTTGATTTTTTGTGGTACTATAAGTTGGAAACAAAACTTTTAGAAGAGGAGAAGATAATATTTCAAGGGAAGACTCACTTTATTTTTTAACACTTCAAAAATGATTAGTTGAAAATAAGTACAATCACTATCTTTTTATAGGCTTCACAAAACATGAATTTAATCTCATACATGAACTAGTTAATAAATGTAAATTAATCCCCAAAATAATTCATGTATTTTTCAAGTACATGAATAAACTAGTGTATTTATTAGCATTCCAAAAGACGCTAATAATTTGACTAGTAACTTATGTTTATATTTTTACGATTTGGTGAAAATATGTGCGATTTGATCTTGGAAACTTATGTACTTCACTTCCACGTATTGTTTGTCAACTCAATCTCGAACGAAAGTGTGGCTAACATCTTGAGAAAAGTTGCTAGCGAACGTGGGTTGCTCAAGCTTGAAAGTGAAGAAGATAAAGGGAACAAGAACATCAAAGATTATAATTTATTCACCCGTGAAAGTAAATTAGTGAAGATCATGATCTGTCTACAAAGCAATGCCATTTTTATCTTCAACCTTGCACCCCCAATTTTAATGCAGATGCAATGACATTTACAGCTGCAGATACAAGTTCCACAGATAGAAAACCTTATATCCGCAAAGCCTACCATTTGAAATCTCCAAAATGGTAACTTCTCAAAGCCGTGCTGAAGATAGAGAAGAGGGATACTCACGAGGAGGCTATCAAAGAATTTGATATTATTGATACCATGTTAGTCGATGACACTTGAACAAATAATACCAAAATTGGTATAACTAAATCCAATGTGGAAATGCTTTCTGGCAGGAAAGATTGTGATAATACATGTGATAGAAGTGATATTTTCAGCAACTTGAAGAACAAAAGGGATTTGGGGAAGGACAATCAAACAGGAAATTTGCTAACGTTACAGTTGAATGGTACAGAGAAAATGTGGACAGTATAGCTCCTACTACCAAACATCATTAGAGACTAACTGCTTGTAGTTGTATAGAGATGAGCAATGGTGTGACACGTTCAACTGTCGTTCCCAGTTAGGAAAATGAAAAGACCAGTTTCTACTCAGATGTTCTTTTATTTACTGAGAATATATCTACTCGAGCAGGTTCATCTCAAGAAAACTTGTCATACACTGGTTTGTCGAAAGGTAGTCCTACTGGGAGTGTTGAATGTACAGAACTCCATTTACGGAACCTTCAAACTCATTCACTCATTGATCTATACTTCCCTCAAGTTTCCCCAGACCTCGAGAATGGTGTCTTAACAACAGAAATAATTAAAGAGGAAGATGACAGAAAAATCAAGCCAGATAATCATTCTTCAATGCTTGGACTTGAGTGCGTGTATCAGATACGGGTACATTTCTAAGAGTTGGAACCTTCTCATTTTAAAAAGAACCAGAACTTTGGATGCGGGGTATACCAATAAGTCATACAAAATATTTTTTTTAAAAAAATGACAGACAAATTATTTTATTTTATTGTAATATAAGTATTTCTAGTTTTATAATTAATAATACTGAATTTGTGATGTTTTAATTACTATATAAAAAGTTGACATGGATAGATATAAGAAATAAAAAATTTAGTATACTAAGGAACTCAAATATAAGTATTGGACAATCGTTTTGATTAAATTCAATTAAATTTTTTTTTACTTGTACATATATTAATTGATATTGGCCTTCAAATATGAACTTGTAGTTTAGTTTGTTTATCAACTCTTTCAATAAAATTAATTTAAACAATTGGATTGTAATTTGAAATCAATTTAAATTTAAAGACAAAATAAATTCTTTTCAAAAAAATTAAAGAAAAAAATCATTTTCAATGTCTTATATATTATTTAAAAAAATTGTAGAAATAAATTTAAATTTAATATATCAAATAAAAGATATAGCACTAAATTATTTTAATTACAAAATAAAAAGTTAATACAGATAAAATATAAGAAATAAGAAATTTAATACAATGATAAACTCAAATTAAATAGATTTGACATACAATTTATCCCAATAAAATAATTATAATTTTATTAAGCCTATGTATTTGACTTTAAAGAGCCCATTCCAAAATCCGCCCGACCAAGTTTAATCAATTAGGGCAGTTAACAACCACAGTCTTCCCCAACTCTCTTTTGTTCTCCTACTCCTTTTCTTTCTGCAGAGCCACAAGCAGAAATCCAGAAGCTAGACTCCACCTTCCGCCTTCTTCTCCCTTTTGCTGTCGTGTCCGAGTGCAAAACCAAGGATCAAATCCATATTCTTTGTTCGTATTAGTGTCATGTCGTGTCGACACGGATATTTCTCCATTTTTGTAAAGTCCGAGCATCACAAATCATTGTCCACTTAAATCTTCTATGGTGAAGGTTAGCTCAAAGGAGCAGCCTAGCATGAATCTGCGGAGGCAAAGCACAAAAAATCGACCTCTAACAGCAAGATTATTGGATTTTGACAAATGGACTTTTGTTTTGAAGGAATCTACACTATCGTAGGTAAGAACTAATTTTATCAGACTTACTTCCTGCAGCTGAGATCGTCATCTCCAGAAACCGTAGAATGAAGAAGAGCACTGCTCCACCTCCACCCATCGTAGCCGATGAAGTTCTTATAAAATGAACACTGAAAACCTTTTGGTTGGCTGATTAATTATTTGACAGAGGATGAAGTTCACGTGGCTTTCTTGTTTTCTTATGCAGCTGAATTTCGTATATGTTCGCCCGTGACCTTAGTGAGTCTGCAGCTATTGCAGTCTCGCATAAACAGTACAATTTTGGCTGGTAATCTATCACAATTTCAGCTACCCGCTTCAGCAAGAAAAATGAAGATATTTGAGACAATATTTCATAATAATATATCTTGGAAAACAATTCTTTTTGTGACACTACCTTTGTTGGAAATTTGGAGATGAAACAATAACTTTTAGAAGAAGACACTCACTTTATTTCATAAAACTCCAAAAATGATTAGTTGAAAATGAGTGCCTTCAAAAGGCTTCACAAAACAAGAATTTAATCTAATACGTACTAGTTATTATATGCAAATTAATCCCAAAAATAATGCATATACTTTTCATGTACTCAAATAAACTAAAGCATTTAATCTGTATTTATACTTTAAACAATATACTCCATAAATTTATCAATTAAATATTGATATGTTCCATTCCTGCCAAGTTGATGTTATTCATTCTTGAATATTGGATCATCATTGGTAAGGCCAAAAAATAAAAAATACGCATGTAAGTAAACAGCATTCATGGGTCCTCAGTTTCTCCTCCAGAAATGTCACTTGCCACCACATTACAAAATGCACTTAATCCATCTTCATCCATGTCTGAGAAGATTGATACATGATCAAAAATCTCCAGTACTTTATACAAGCTCAACTAGGTTGATGTGCGGTGTTTATGGCGAACTCAGATGAGTAGCCAAGAGAATTCAGATAATCATTCACTGATGACGATTTCTAAATAGCAGGCTGATCAGGAGCTGCTTTTTTAGCTGGTTCTTGCAATATCTTTACCACTCTAATGGAAACAGTGGCAATAAAGCAGGTTTGCAAGGAGCAAGATCAAAATTCAGAATAGTATTTGGAGAACTACCTGCTTGCTGATTGTTACATTTACTTGTAATTTGTTTTCCAAGTTCAAAATTCATAATAATAGTAGTTGATTAAGGAACGGAAAAGGATATATGTGTGCGTGCGCCGTGCATAATTTTTATATATAAATATTATTCCAACAAAATTACTTTCATATAACTTTAATTTTTATTTGGAAATTCATCATTGACGAAGTGATTTATCACAATTCGCAACAAGGAAAATAATAAAAAATAGTGAGATTTTTAAGTCCATTTTCTGGTCAGTGGAACCATTTACAGGTGTCTGGTTTACCAGAAAGCAAGAATTTTGAATTGAAGAAGCGTTATTCTCTAAATATTGCTTGCTGTGCTATAATATTCAGAAATATTTACCTCAACTGGTGCATGCTGCAGCTTCCCATATGCCTGAGCACTAAATCTTTTTATTTGGTATTCATATGGCTCTCTGAACAAGATATATTGGTAAATAAAATATTTCATGCGTTAAAAAACGTAGGTTGGTTTATAATTGTACTATACGTAGATGCTGTTATCTACAGTTTCTTTTAAATGGCATTTTGTCACTAAATTTTTGGAGTAATTGTTAAAACAATGGCATTATCATCAACTTACCAACATATTCTATTTTCATTATAAGGTGGAATAGTAAATGTAACTATAGATATTGAAATTTTACTTTGTGCACAATCCAGGAACATGACTACGATTCCACTTGTTTGGCATTCATACACTATCCATCTATAGTATAATGCAATACATTGCTTGAACTCGTGTAATTGATTTTCATATTCACGTGCGCAAATCATGCAAATGTGGTGCATGCGACTACTAAGGGTTAGAGAGGACGCATTATCCGAACTCGTTAATTTCGAAAGCTAAAAAACTGAGAAGTAACCAATACATTGGGATTAACCCAAACTTAAGAGTTTTATACATTATTCATGTCTGCCAATCCATTACAATTACAAAACATTAAATAGGAAGCAAATGACACTCTTAATATAATAAAGTGCTGAACATTCTTATCAAATTTTTATATGTTGTACTTATATATGTTATATACTATCTGTTAAATTTTCATAAATGTTAGCCAAGGTTTAATAGGTCAAATAATTTTTGCAAACTCACTATGCAACCGGAGAAACCTGTTTCCGCTTGCTGTTTTTTCTAAAAAACTCATTCCAAATCATTTTGTTCAGTATTTTTCTTAGTCCATATATTGAAAATGGTTGAGACTTTACAATATTTATTAATAAATTCAAATTTAAAAACCTTTCTTAATCTTGTATTAGAAAGATTTACATTTAAAAAATCAGGTTTGGTAATGCTCTGGATTACAAATTTGGGGCGTTACAGGGGTAGTGTTAAGGGTTTGGTATATCACGAAAAAGAATATTGAATATTAACGGATTCTCGATAGTAACAAATACATTATTCACACTAATTAGCATAAGTCAAGAATTGGAACTACTTGTCAATAGGTGGAGTCGGAAATCCTATACATTCATCTCGTTATTTGATAAAACACCAATCATTTATAGCTTTCATGGTTTAAAATTCAAATAATAACCAAATAAAATCTATTTTGTGTTACTACTTATCGAATTTGGTAATAACTAATATACTAATATTGAACGTTATTCGACCAAAAACTTCAGTTGATGCACGCTGAAGATTCTCATATGAAAGGTGGATCCAATAATTTAGTACGTAAGGGCTTAAATTTCAGAAAGTCAATATAATAAATTCATATATAAATGTCGTTTTCATCTAATTTGAACTTTTTCATGATGAGATTTAAACATAAAAATCATCTATAACAGAATATATTTTCTAAATAAGTTCTCGTTTGATGAAGAGCGCTATTAAATGAGCAAGAAAGTCATCCTCCATTTTCCTGTAATGATCCATCTTCACGTGTTTCGTTACTGAAATAACTCGCTCAGTAGTGGTGATAGAAACGAGTAATATCAATACAACATCAATCAACCTAGATTTTACTCTCAGTAGAGGTTTACTCTTCATGTAAAGCTCACAATGTCGAAATTTGTATTAAGTATTAATGTCTTGTTTAGAAAAATCTTCAGAATAGAATTATTTTGCAAGTGTACAGATATCATGTCAGTTCAATTTTGTGTTCATATAAGGAAACTTGTTTGTCACAATGACATTAATTTCGGAACATAAAAATGTTGAGCAGGTAAAATGAAATTCCACACAAAGTTTAGTGGCCTTCACTGTATAGTCAAACCATCCCCAACCCCAACCCCGACCCATTTTCACATAAAATCAAAAACATGAGCTCTCTGTGACTACAAGCAAACACAGGAATTTCACTTTCCTAGATCTACCAAGAAAAATCCACACACATTTCCATGCATATACAATCCATTTTTCCAAACTCACGTTCTTCCTCTTCCTCCACTCTCTCTAAAGTGTGGTCCTAGTTGTATATTATATAGAATATTATACGACTAAACTTTAAAGGTCAGAGCCAGGTGATGAAAACTAACAGATCTGGATTCTGTATTTTGCCCTGAATTGATTATTTGACATTCTTTCATAGTTTCATGTTTCAAGCACGTATTTTTAGAATTAAGCTATTTTTACAACCCTTGTTGACATTGGTCGTTTATTTAAAAAACAAATTTTAACAGTTTCTACAAATGGATGAATGTGGTGCTGTCAGTGTGAAGGTTTCAACCAAGGTTGTCGACTAAGGTTATAAAAGTAGCACGATTCGTATTTTTATTCTGTTTTTTGATCTTGAATATTCAAATTTTGGTTGATCTGGGCTAGAGATCGGGTTGGAGCCAGGTCCAAAACTGACTTACAGTCACTACACCAAATATGGCCTTTTGCAACACGCAAAAGGCAACATTCGTTGATTAAATGTTGCTAAAGGGGTTTATCGCAATATTTTAACAGGTGAATGTTGCTATTGACTAATATAATTGAGCTTTCGCAATATTTTTTAAATAAATGTTGCTAATGTTGCCTTTTGCAACGTTTTATAAATGTTGCGAAAAGTTTAAGTTTTTGCAACGTTTTTTAATTGTTGCGAAAAATTTAATTTTTTGCAACGTTCAAAAAAAGTTGCGAAAAATTCACTTTTGGCAATGTTTTTTGAACGTTGCGAAAAGTCCACTTTTGGCAACGTTTTTTAAATGTTGCGAAAAGTTTAAGTTTTTACAACGTTTTTTAATTTTTTGCGAACATTACGAAAAGTCCGCTTTTGGCAACGTTTTTTAAACGTTACGAAAAAAATTACTTTTTGCAACGTTTAGAAAACGTTGCGAAAAGTTTTGCACCTTTTTCCCAAATTAAATTATATACGTGCTCAAATGATAAAAATAAACCAAACCCTACACTAATTCACACCTCCCTCCCAACAAAATCCCTCCATTCTCGCCTCCCTCCCTTCTCGGCTTCTCTCAATCTCTTTCAATCCCACCATTTCCACCGCTACCTCACTCCCACTTCTTTCTTCGTCTCTCACTCAAAGCCGCCACCGCCGACCCATACTTGATGGAGACAGAACGAAAATGTAGATGACCCATCACGGATGAAGAGAGAAAACAGAGTTAAAGAGTTCGATTTGTGAGAGAACGAAAATTCAGTCCATCTTTCTCTCAGCGGCCGTTGTGAAAATCTGACCAAGATTCTGTAAACCAGATTTTCATCTTCATTTGTAAGTTTTGATCTTGATTTCTTAATTTTTCCTTGTTTTTGCTTGTCAAGAAATTCAATTATTCAATTTCTTGAAGTTTTTTCAGAGGCCCATTTGCTAAAAAATTATTTGACTGAAATGTTTGATGTATTTAGGAATTTGTGATTCAATTTCTTGTGTTTGATTAATCTTTTATAGGGTCTTGTGTTTGATTGAAAATCATGTATCAATTTTGTGATTCTTATGAAATTCATTTGCATGTAGAACTCAGAAGCCGCTGGAGCCTGGAGTTAAATGAAGCGCCTGCCCTGCCTGAGGTTGAGGAGAGGTCATAGGTGAACTTAATTCAGTAACTTGATGCTGTTTTAAGGTTATACACAAGCTGTATAGACTAAAATTAGTTGGGCTGAATTTTTATTTGAGTTGGTGCAATGCCAGCTGAAGTGTCTGATGCCTGATTCTGAAATTAGGAGGGTGTGGGTTTATTGTCTTTGTATGGACATTAACTACCTTTGGAACACCTCATTGTTTGAGATTGAGGCACTGGATAAGTAGCCTTACAAAAGCTGATTTAATCAATTTTGGAGGCTGAAACGATGTGCGAAGTTTGGGATTATAATGAATAAGATGAGCTGGGTTGAGTGTAAGTTGGAGCAATAAAGTGATGAAGAAGATAACTTCTGTGCTCTACCTGGCTGCTGTAAGCAATTCTCATTAAGTGTAGTATTTGGTTGGTGTAAGCAATTCTCAGAATAAGACTCCTACTTTATTGGAAAATGACTTCAGAATAGGACATTGCTCAGATGTGCCTTAAAGATAAAATGATCTCGTGTTAGTATTAACTTTAGGGAATTCATATTAAACAGGTTCAACTAGCTACATATAGGTCTTCAGTTGAAATGGGCAACTGCCTGGGTTTCTTCATTTAGCAGAGTAGTTTCATTTCGCAATGTGGGTCTGGTATATATAATACAGTGATATGCATTTCATAAGTTGCCATTTCCTTTTTTTTTATTATTATTATGTAGATTCATCACTGGAGAATAACTGATTTCCATCTGCTTGATGCTTTAGGTCGTGATATGCTGTAACTAGTTTGAAGATGTTATTAGGGGTTAAGCTCTTGAATATTTTTTGCAGGAACAGGGAGAGGAGATTTAATGTGAACAAAATGCTTAATGCTCAATGTGGGCTTTGGCTTACTTGCTAATGCCACTTGTAGATCGTTTCCAATGCTTTTGCATTAAGTAGTTATTATTTCAGGAATAATTCAAAATGAATACCTGGTAGAATGAGATAATGATATACCTATGAAAAACTATGGATTGGCCTGTTATCTGAGATTTTTCTTTCTTTTCCTTAGCAGGTAGACAATTTCATTCATGCTGACATGCATTTCATAAGTTGCCAAACCGCAGCAGAGTGCACACTGAGATTGTCAAAGAAACAGAACTGCCCAATGCTAGAGGCCTTCATTCAGGTGAATTTCATCATCCACAACCACTTATTTAAGAAATAGATAAAGATTGTAAAAGATGCAGCTGGATTCGAGTATAGGAATCATTTCTTCCTTGCAATTTTACTCTTTGTCTTTCCTAATTATGGTGGGATTGTAAATTGCAACAATGTTTTCCATTCTGGCACTGAATGAAATGGGAAGAATGAAAGGGTTTTCATCTTCTATTTTGCCTCTGCTTCTGCCATTAATCCTTTTCATTTTATGCGAAGAATCTTCCGCCCAATATTCGACTTTGAATTACACAAAATATAGAAAAGTTAGTAGCTTGAGACTTGCTAGGATTCAGAAGCATTTGGAAAAGATTTGGGGTCGTATATATTCAGATAGTTACATTTGTTAGCTATATTCATATCTAGCATCCTATTTTTCCATTTAGCGAAGATGGAGGTTAATTTTGTTAGCTATAGTATATTGTGTAGGGATGGCAACGGTTCGGTTCGGGGTCGGTTCGGCCAAAACCATAACCGCACCACCAATTTTTTGGCCATACCATAACCGCACCATAACCACGAAAGTCGGTTCGGTTCGGTTCGGTTTATATCTCGGTTCGGTTCGGTTAATAACCACGAAAATAAATTATTTTTTATAGATCCAATCGTCAACTTGAAAAATAATAATTTATGAAAAAAAGTCAATAAAAGTTAATAGTACTAGATATAAAATTATATATAGAGCCAATTTTTGTTTCTCATTTTCTTTTTCTCATTTTAGATACGTACTATACATGGTCAAGTGAACTATACACATTCAATACAGTAAAAATGAAAATGGTAATATACTTACCCTTGACTCATGAACTAAAACTATTCGTGCAAGCAAAATGCAAGAAAAATCCAAATACTGAAAAAAGTATTTATAATGTCAAAGTTGCAATAATTAATATATAGCGACAT